ACGTTTCTACAAACTACAAACAATGCAGTTATTTTTTTTTCTTTTCTATACATATACATATATATATATATATATATATATATATATATATATATATTACAAAAAGCTAGCGTTCCGCGACATTATTGAATCCGCGTCCCCGAGTCCTGTAAAGAAACATGTGTACGTATATATGTATCTGCCACACGCTCGACTTGCCATTGTGTCGCGATCTCACGTCGGAAAATTGATCTTTGGTGGCGCGAATTCGGTTGAAAGTTTTTTTAGTCGCGCGACAATCCAGTTCTGGAGATCATCGCGCGCTCAGCACATCCAGGATAAAAAAAATATCCAATAATTGGCACTTTAAGTCGAATGATTGACACTTTGAAAATCTGTCTGATTTTTTTTTTTTTTCAAGAATGTCACTAAAAAACATTAATGTTGTCATGAAAGATCCAAATTAATTCTATTATAATGTGTCAAGTAAAGTAATTGTAAGTAAAAAAACTCTGTTAACAACTAGAAACAATTAATTAAGTGTCAATAATTAGAGAAATGCTAAACTATAAGTTCGGTTACTCCGAATATTGATTTCTTGTATTGCGCGAATCGGTCTTTTCTCACCGTTTCTATGTTTCTGTTGCAGAACGAAGCCGGCAGAGCGCGAGGGAGTGCCGTGCTCGCAAGAAGCTAAGATATCAGTACCTGGAAGAGCTTGTAGCTGACCGAGAAAAGGCGGTGCTTGCTCTGCGTAAGGAGCTCGAGATGGTGAGTCATTTCTTAAACTTTTCTCTTTTCATAAACGAACGAATGAGAATTAATGAGACTTCCTAAAGAGAAAATTTGGGATTTTCTTTTCTTATAGCTAATTGTAAATTGTTTATTGATATGGATGAGATGTGCGTTAAATGCGGCAAGATAAAAGATGTTCGCGGATTGATTTTGTTTTTTTTTGTTTTTTTGAGACTTTAAATTACTTTTTATATGCGAATGAATTGCATCAATTTTCGTCTTAACGATATTGTGTGTAGAAATGAAAATAACTATATGTATATACTAAATAAAAACAGTTACTTAAAAATACCGACATTTTCTCACCTGTTCTCTGCGAGAAGAATTATACGTTAGCACGTTCTTCACAGGATTAGTTATAGTATCTCAAACGCGCGTATATATATATATAACAGACATAAAGCAAAGTAAATTCTTCGGTAGCTGGGAAACCTCGTAACTCGGTCTTTTCCATCACTCTTTTCTCCCATCACCTTTCCTTAACCTTCATCCAAAGTGCGAAGTAAGTTACTCGCGAAAGTGTAAAGTGCTCGCGAAATACGAAGGTTTGCTCTTTAGTAATACGAACAGAGAGCGGGAATATATTATTTGCATTCGCGCGTTACTTCCGCAAGCAAAAAAGCATTTCGTATTATATTGTCGGAGTCACTCGACTATCCTCTATATATATGCGATTGTTCAATTTTTTTGTTTTATAAATTTTCGCGAAAAATTTTGTCGGGAAAATGTTCACAATTTTTTTTACTTAAAAAGAAATAACCGCTTCGCTTTATTACGTCGCGTTTCATAAAATGTACCGTTATATCGAACGGAATACGATGAAAGACAAAACCTCGCTAACAAAGTGCTTGAAACCAAGAAATCGCATTACCTGTCTGTTGGTTGTCGATAGGTCGTCGTATTGGCTTCTTTTCTCTCCGCCAGGCGGAACGCTTGTTAACGAAGTGCTCTGAAAATATTTGACGTCGATATCTACTAGTAGAAGCTATCGGATGGTCTTTTATATATGTATATATAAAATTATATATATATATTATATATATATATATATAATATATATATAATTTATATATTATATAT